ACGTGGAGTCTAACGTGCATGATAAAATATGCCTAATAATTTTAAATAAGCGTTTACTAATTTGTTAATTGAAAAAGACTTATTAAGTGCAACTTCTGAAAAAATTCAGGCATTGAACGTTGGTCTAGAAATAAAAGATACATTCAGGGGCAAATCTACAGGAGAACGTAGGGGTGCCCCTGAATGCGTTTGCCATAAACCTTTGTGGCTAAAGGTAATATAAAATTAATATTTTCAAAGTGCATATTTCAAAAAGATAAAAGAGAAAAAATATAAGATAGCAAGCAGTTTTAAAAAAAGGCACGTTTCTGATTAAAAAAGTTAGGGTATTGGGTTTCCTCATAAGGATATTGGGTTTCCGAAGTTCTTTAGTTTAATACCAATATAGCGCATGATTATTTAAGAATCAAGGACTAGCCTCGTTTCTTTATGTACCCATCGTAGCACAACATTCTTAATCAACGCTATACAGTTTTAGTGTACATACAAGGATCTGCAATGAACTAGTTAAAAACATCACCTTAAAATTTCAAAAGGTTTCTACAACTTTAGAATTTTAAACTTAAAAATAAATTAAGTTATAAACCTGCACATTTTTATTCAAAAATTTAAAAAAATACAATTTTTGTTTGCATGGATGTGTGTATATATATATATATATATATATATATATATATATATATATATATATATATATATATATATATATATATATATATATATACATCCGAGACATTGTTTCAAATGAAGTTTTATTAGGCACGATTCGTTCTAGTTGACCACGTTGGATAATTGTCACCATCATAGATAACCAAGTTTCCATCTGTTTGCATTACCAGACGATGAGGTTTTGAACCTCTCTCATTAGTACCACTTGACCAAAATGCTCTGTTGTAAACATCGTAAACAACCAAATTTCCATCATTTTGCATTACAACTCTTCTTGGGGCAGTTCCTTTTTTAAAAGAACCACTTGTCCAAATTGCATTTGGTGGTACCCAATGTTGTGTAACATAAAGAACAAAGTTTCCATCTCCTTGCATAACTGCATAGTAACAATTACCTGATGAAAGGTACTGTCCAGGATTAAGAGTTTGTCCATCGTGCAATGTAGTTCCAATGTTATTTGCTGCATCAAACTGAAATTTGTATTATATTAAATTTAAAAATTTTAATTCATATATCGAATCAAATAAATTAGTATAACTCAAGTAATTTAGAAATGTTGACCACCATTATTTAAATTAAAGTAGTCGGAAGTTAATTCTATACAACACTTTATATCATAATGTTTACACCAATACCTGTACTGTTTGCCCTCTTTTTACTATTGTGCTGTTTTTATCTTTAAACATATGTAGACCTAAATGCAACATATTGACCTTGTACAATACGTAGAATGAATTAAAAAAAAAAATAAATAAAACACTCAACGATATTATAAGATGTGTTGTTAAAAAATATATAAATTAAGAATATAATATAAAGTAAGAATATAAATATACAATATAAATAAAATATAAATAAACAACTAACAAATACAACATTGCTACAAATAAAAATGAACAAGTGGGCATTATGATACTAAAACGATATACCTTGAGCATCTAAAATAGTTATTTTAAGTTATATGCGATTTAACGATTTTCAAGCAAAAACCTTTTTCAGAGTTTATAAAATTACAAAAAGGAAATTAAAAAGTTCCTTCGGAAACCAAGATAAGAATAATGTTACCATGAAATCTTTAAACATAAATAATGAAAAAATTTAAAAACGAAAAACATATCAAACTGTTCCTATATTTTCTTTAAAAAAATACTGTAACAACTCATACATAAATACCTGAACAGTGGGTAGCACATGGAATAGTCTCAACTAAAGGAACATTTTCACAATACTTAGTAGGTTTGCAAGTTCGTGTACGTGTGCTTACTGAACAATTGCTAAATGGAGTCCACTCACTAATAACGCGCTCTAGAATAAAAAATATCTAAAAAAGCTAATTTAAAAAAAATAAGAAACAAAATTGTATGAATATTTATGTAAAGAATAAAGTTTAAGAAGACGAAAGAAGCCCAGGAACCAACTAGGGTTATATTGTTGTAGCTTGAGTTATATGGTTGTAGCAAATTAGGCTACATGATTGTACATGCTTTTCTTACTAGAGATTTCAACTTGGTAAGAAAAAAATGTTTACCAATCTCTAACAAAACTATGTATATCTTATTTGTTTGTTGGATGAAACAGCTATTTGTATATTTTTTAAGTAACAAAGTGTAAGTATTTGCATGTTGTCTAATAGTTATATAGTGCTTTTAAAAAAATTGGCGCAGTAAAATTTTGTTGCCTAAAGCATATTTAAACTATTATAAAGTAAAAGCTAAAGGTAACATTAAACAGATTTTTTTTTTTTTTCTTTGCAAGGAAAATCTTTTTTTGAAGAAATCTTGCATCTTGGATAGCATACTAAAACATAAAATTGTGTAAAAACGTTGTCAAACATAATAACAAAAATAGTTATAAAACAAATGTAATATATAAAAAACTAAGCAACAAAAAAAAACCTCTATTCTAGTTTTTTAAATATCCCCTACGAGTTTTTATAAAGACAGCATATTTTCTTTGCATTGATTTTACAAGGTTGTAGCAGATTTTGTTATAATTTC